TTAATTCAGAACATAATTTGCTTTTCTTTATTTGCACACTGCAGTTCTGGGGAATAAAAGCCATTATGGAATCAAAGGACAATTTGCTTTTTGTTGTTGTTGTTGTTCTGCACTGAATTTTTAAAGGCTTTTTAAAAAGAACATAAACAGATGAATGATACCAGATTCAGCGCAGCTTAAAACTAAGTACCTTGAGCTCTTTTCCATGATAAACAGAAACCAATCTTGGCTCTCTGCCCCCAAGCACAGGGCTGCCTGTCTTCAGTGAGACACATTCTCTTCCTTGTCTGGGAGGTAAGAAGTCCAAGCAGGCATGGACAATGATTCTCAGAGAGATGGGGATTTTAAAAGATATTCAACTATGAATGTTTCAGTCTTCTCCCCTGAATGCTAAGCCTTCCACTGCCTTTCAGGTCTCTCTTTCTCTCCAAAATGTTAAAGGCAATTCTGAGCCTGTCAGAGAAATCCCTGGGTCTTTTTATGCATTGTGTGGGGCAGGCGGGGGATATAATTGGGTTGAGAAGAATCAACGGAGCCTATATCTACACTGAAGGACAGTAGAAGATCCAATAGAATGAGGGAGATGGTGAAAATTCAAGAGCCATATGAAATGTTCCTTTATAATACTTTTTGCTGAATATACATTATAAAGTGTGGACACAAAGGTTTTATGGGCAATGACAGACTGTGAGGATACTGATATGAATTATATATTAAATCCCCCGTACCTTCTTCAGGAAATGTCAGTAAAAGGTGGGATTGCTTTTAATTACTTTTTGATTACTGAGCTATTTCTCTGAATGTGACATTGCCCAGAGAATAGACCCCAGGTTACAATGGAATTAAGGAAGAAACTAAGTTGAATACCAGGAAGGAGAGAGCAAGTTCTGTCTCCATGGTCTTTCTCAAATGAGGGATGCTGTATGTATCCTTAGTTTTTCTCAAATATGGATTTTGCATGTATATGTAAGGCTTGTGAAGCCTTGACCATGGAGTTCCCAGGAAGAATGTTGACCTGTAACAGAAAATTGTCTGTGACAAGCATTTATTTATTCCCACAATATTTTCCAGGATTATACTGCTGGCCATGGAATAGAAAGATTCATAAGTACCATTAAGAGATCATTTGCTGTACTCAGAGACAAAAGACAAGAATAATTAATGATGTGTTAGGTACAGTGATACCTCAGTTTACAAACTTAATGCTTTTGACAATTCTGCTCTCAGGATTCATTCCATGAGGTTGCAACCAGAACTGTGGAATGAATTCTGAGACTAGAATTGTGGAAAGAATTAAGTTCCTGAACAGAAGTACCACTGTGTCTACCAAGGGCTCAGTATTGGGACAAAGGTAAGAAAACTGTGAGGATCATAACATCTGCAACAATTAAGGAAGCTTACAATGTAGCTCTTGAGCCATGATCACACAGGGTATAAGATCAACTAGGGACCACGCAGAGGTGTAAGATTCAGAAAGTCACTTGCAGTGGGCAACTTGGAAGAAGCTGCTTGCCCACCTGCAGTCCAGGTATTGAACATGTCCCTGAACAGAAGTTGCAATTTGTTAGGGGTCACACATTGCCATGGGTTGAGGTTACAGAGCTGTCTGAATGGGAAATCAAGTCCCCTCTTCTTGGTCAGGGTCCCTCATATTCACACTGTACTAACCACTGCAGATTTTGAAGTTGAGTCTGAAGATGGTAGTGTTTATGTAAAGGGAATGCTGAATTGCAGGCAGCAATGATGCATGGGACTGGCATACTAAGAAGAGGAGCCACTGCTTCCTTCTGTATTTAGAAAAATTCATAAGTACTCTCTCAGCTCCAGACAGGAGAGATCATAAAACTTTAATTGTTTCTTACGTAATTACACTATTGATTGACTCACCAAAGCTTATTTGTGATTATGTTCACGCTTGTATCTATCTACTAGGAAGGCTAGGAAGTGAAATACTCCATCACCCATTCTAACTATCAACCTGTGGGATACAAAGTCAAAAGGCAAAATCTTTTAAGTCTTAGTCCTTAACCTTCTTGCCATGAATGCCAATATAAGGTGAAAATTCTCTTATTTAACTCTGAGAAAGGAAAGGTAATGTGTAAAAAATACATAATGAAGACAGAAGAAAGAAGAGATAGAAATAGCTCTAGTTTCTGGTGTGATCACTGAGCCACCAAGTTCCTGATTTTCCTACTCTATGGGCCATTGGTAGCGAACCTACAGCACATGTGACACAGTGAGCTGTTTGTATCATTGAAAATTCTAAAAGCTTCTCATCACTGCTACAGGCTATAAAATTGTAAAAATACATTCACTCCCAAACCGCCACTAGATCCTTTCAATTTTGGGCTTGTATTCTAGGTGAATAGCTAAGAGTTACTACAATTTATGTTCCCCAGTAATTATGGAGATGAGCCAAGGAATTGAATGCTTTGATTTATAATTATACCTATATGATTTTAAAATAGCTACTTTACAAATACCAAAATTATTCAATCTACTTCTCTGGATCAATGTAAGTAAAAATCAACTTTGTTTTCTCAAGTTTCTCCCCATATGCAGTCAAACCAGTTTATATTCTAGTGTTTTGGCCATATCAAATTACTACCAATATTGTAGGATTAATCTTTTAATTTATCTTCTGTGTCTATTTGAGATATATTCAAATCATATTGTTGTATTATGAAAAGTGATGTTGTTCATGATTATTTTCTCACCAAGTGATCTGTCTAAATTAGGATGTGTTTCATGTAACTTGGAAAGCAAGTTACAGTATGTTGACACCCTACTGAAAACAAGCATTATTTGTTTCCTAAGTGTTCTGAAAGTTAGCAATGGTAGGATTGGTTTGGCAGGTCCTTGTGTGATGAAGGACACTGACTCTTCCCATTGCTTTAATTCTTCATTTTCCACATATTTGCCTTCGTGTTCATGTTTGGGATCTCATAGTCACAACATGGTTGTCCTGTTGTGAGTCATCTTCACACAGCAGCGAAGAGGAGAGGAGGACCAGAAAGACATTTCTCTTATACAACCCTCTTTTCATTCAGGAAATTAAGTCCCAGAATCCCTCAGCAAAATTGATTTTAAAGAACTCATACCAGAATAATCTCAGCAAAGGGGAAGAGAAAAAGAGAAGAACAGGCGAGGGGAAGGGAAGGAAGAGGAGAGGAGGGGAGGGGAGACCATTCTCAGATTAATCACAATACACTCCCTGTGTTAGCTACTTTCTCAGGTAGACTCTGTTAAAAAAGAAAAGAAAAGAAACCCATGGCCAAGCAGCCATTTTCAGTGCTATAAAACCAGTAAACCCTGAATTCTCTGATTATTTCAATATTATTCATATATCCTCATTTGAAATTGAATAAAAACAATAAATTATTCATTATTTAATCCTGTAATTCTTTTTCACTTTTAATGAGAGATACCACTCACCTTAACTACAGTAGCTCTAGAAGACTTTAGATGGTTATTGAAATCCAAAAACCATATAATCAACAACATATTGCCTCTCATTTGTTTATTCAATAAAGTTTTACCTAATTGATACTGTATGCAATTCTTTGTTCTAGGTACTTATTACTTATCAGTGAGGAATAAAGAGCCTTTCCCTTGAGGTGCTAGCAGGGTGAACAAACAATATATAATAAATATTAACCAATATTAACTCCTCCTCTGTTGGAGGATTACAATTCTTATTTTTCTGACCTCAGACTCAGTCATATTATTTGTTTTAGCTAATGAAATGCTAATGGATTTAATAGGTGTTACTTGAAAGTAGAAGCTTCTATTCTTTTCTTTCTATCAGGAGATTAAATAAAATTTAGGATGGAATATTCAGAATGAATAAGACACTGAAGCAGGGCCTCAGTTAATATGGAAAGAAAATGTATTCACTAAGTGATTCATTGTAATTTCTTACCACAGCATGACAGGGTATGTTGATTAATACTGTAAATATTACATATAGTAGTACTGTAGCAAATAAAACAGAGCAGAATATGGGGACAGTAGTAAAATAAAGGACTGTCATATAGCAGCATTAAATAGAACAGTCATAGTAGACCTTACTGAAGTGAAAAGATTTGACTTTACACTCTGGAAAAAAATGGGGGAACTTTATCAAAAGGATATCTGAGGAGGAAGTATTCTAGGTGGAAGGATCTGCTAGAGGAGAGCCCTCAGACGAGAAGATGCTTAGAGTATTTGGAAAATATTCAGGAGTTTCTGTAGCTGTAGCAAGTAAGAAAGGAGAGAGCAGCAGGAGCTGAGTTCAGAGGGGCATCATGACCAAAGAGAGTGAAGCATGTAGACCAAGGTAAGGACTTTGGCTGTTACTCTAATCCAAATGGAAAGCAATTGTAAGGTTTCCAGAAGAGGAATGCTAAATAATTTAAGTATCATTGTGGCTACTATATTAGCATATACTGTTAAGAGACAAAGATAGAATGGGGAGACTAGTTAAGTAGTATGCTTAGAATCTAGTCTAGACTTGATAACTACCTGAACCACAGAGGTAGCCAAGAATGTCATAAGATATGAAGATTCTGTATGTGTTTTGAATTTAGAGAAAACAATACGTACTAATGTGTTTGGTGTGGGGTGAATGGAAAGTGAAAATTCTGTGCCTTTCTGACAAAATAAAACAATCTTTCTTCCAAGTAGTAACTCATGTGCTTTCTAGTGGATAAAAGAAGCATTCAGTGTTGTCATTCCTACTGACCGCATAGCGTCCCAGGAAGGAATACACACTTGACCTGTGACATACAAAATGCCACTGCATCATAATGGAGAAATGACTTCACTCACAATTGTTCATAAATATGAGTAGGGATCAGAAGTCAGCTGGTATATATAGCCAATAATCTGAGCACTCTTGCTACAATGATTTTATCATGGATTAAATAATATATATCACATACTTTGTGGCATTAATCCAAAACTATTTGTTTTATTATTTCATAATGATAGTTTCTTAGAATTTTTTTGCCTCACTAAATTAAAAAAACACTAAATTCACATTTCATAATTTTTAATAAAAGTTTCTATTCTTTAAGAAAATTGATTATAAATATGGAACTTACACAAACTCTTTTTACCTTGACCATCTTCCATGGGATCACAACAATACCTCAGCTTACCTGAAATTCAGGTGACAAAAATATGATGAGGATTCACCAGACTTTACTTAAGCCAATTGTTATTTGAAGAAAAATGTCTCCCCAAATGATGTGCACCTCTCCAGTGTGGGTAAATATATCACTAAAGGAAGAATGACTTTTTCTTTAGGTAAATGTTCATTATTTTAAATTACTTATTCTTATCTTCCATTTCAAAGTTTCTTGTGGCCTAACAGCTTAAAAACTTTTTGAATAATTAACTAATTTTAGGTTTAGATAGTGCCATTAGCTCCCTCAAAAAAGAAAATCATTGAATTCAGTAATAGCTTGATTATCCATCCAGTGTAAACTCCCAATTTTAATTAGATATTCTGTGCTAGTGAAATGTGCAAAGTCCTATGATTTTGAAGCCTTGAAATGTGAGAAATAATCTAAAGAATCATGCATAGAGAAAATAATTTAATTATATTTTCTTAGGAAATATTGTCAAGTCTTTGTAACTATTAATCATGATTGTCAACTTTAATGGATTAAGAATAGTGTTGCAGATTAATAAAACAAATTCCTAGGTGTATATTTTTGGGTGTTTCCCAAAACAATTGACACACAGAGCAACAAACAGAGAAGACCCACCCAGACTGTGAGCTGCACCATGTCATGGATTACAGCCCAGGTGGAATGAAAAGGGAAGAAGGAGGAAGTTGGTTTATATTTGAAAAGGTCATTCTGCTTAAGTGTATATGGACTGCTACTGCCTCCTTAATCTCTTTGTTCTTTAACTTGTAGCTTTTTGACTGACAAGCTACTGGATACATTTGGTTTCAAGCATGCAGATAACTGTGTACTCTCTTGTCTCTGATCCTGTAAGGTTATCTAGTAAGTCACCTTGCATAATTATATTTTGTGATTGTTAAGATGGATTGTCAATTTGATTGGCTTGAGAACCACACAGAGTTTTTGATTTTGGGGTTTTTTTTTTTTTTTTTTGGTACTGGGGATCGAACTCAGGACCTTGAGCTTGAGAGGCAGATGCAGCACCACTGAGCTAAAGCCCAGACCCCATATAGAGTTTTAATAAAGCATATTTCTAGGTCTGTCTATGTGTGTTACGGAGAAGTAACCTTGTGTACAATACCTAGTTCCTAGCTTCTTCCTGTCTGTGCTGTTCCCCTGCTCTGGTCCCCATTTGCCATGAAGTGAGCAACTTTGCTCCATCAAGATTTTCCACCATGAAATTTCTGCTTTGGAGCCAGCCAACTATAGATTGAATCCTCTAAAACCATGAACCAAAATAAACCTCTCCTCTTTTATTGTTGTGATGTCAAGGATTTTTTTTCCCAGCAATGGGAAGCTAATACATAAAATTAGTATCAGAGAAGTGGTGTCATTGCTGTGACCATACCTGATAATGTGATTTATAAAATTTTGGAACTGATTTGCAAGAGCCATATAAGTTTGGAGACCCAGGCTAGAGAAAGCCTAAAATGTTGTAAGTACAGTCTGATGTGTGATTTGTGTCAGAACTTAGAAGACCAGAACAATTAGAAGAATGTGGGCAGTAAATGTCAGGCTCAGAAAGTTTCAGTAGGAAAGAGAACTCTATTGGGTAATGGACATGAGGTCACACATGTTACATTCTTTAACAAATTGTCTATGTTTTGTCCATTTCCTAAAACGTTGTTTAAGCTTGATTTTTAAATAATTTTTAATTAGTTCCTGTTTGCCATTCATAATGATATCATTTATCATAGGGAATTTGTTCCTGTATATATCTCAATTCTTTCTTTCCCAATCCCTTCCACTCCCTTCAACTTTTCACCCCCTCTCCATTTACAAAATCTTTGTTTCCATTTTTCCATTCTTTTTAAAACCCCACTTCCCTTCCTTTCATTCTCTCTCCTTCTTCCCTTATTCCTTTTCCCATTAAACATGTTCTTCCAACTTCCCAATATCCATTTTCCTTTTTGCTCCTTATGTACCCTTTGGGTTTTTCATATAAGAGAAACAATGCTATATTTAAACTTGTGTGTCTGATTTATTTTACTTAAAATTATGGTCTCGAAGTACACCTATTTATCTAAAAATGTATCAAATTTCTCATTCTTTATAGCAGAGTCGTACAGCATTCTATGTAAAAACCACATTTTCTTTAACCATTCACCTAGTAATCCATTGATGGGCATATAGGAGGTTTCCACATATATTACTGTGGTATAATGCTTTTAAATCTTTCAAGAAGATCCTTAGAAGGGAAATCACTGGGTCAAATGAAAACTCTAGTTTTGGTTTTTTGAGGAAATTCCACACTGACTTTCATTGTGGTTATACCAATTTATACTTCTACCAACAATAGAGAAAAGTTCTTTTCCCTCCATAGCCTTGTAAGCATTTATTATTGGTTGATTTCTTGATGATAGCTATTCTTTTGGCAATGAGATGGAATCTCAGATTTGTTTTAATTTGCATTTTTTAAGACAGTCATTATGTGTTTTTTATTTTTTTTTAATTTTATTTTATTGGTACATTTTAGGTATACAATACAATGGCCTTCATCTTTGGAAATTTGCACCTTTACATAATCTCTCTTGCTTCTTATTTTTCCCCCCTTCCCCTACCCTCCCTTCAACCCCACCAGCCCTCCCTATTTACAAAGACTTTGTTTCCAATTTTTCATTTTCTCATATTAATTCCATTCCCTTCTTTCCTTTAATTTGCATTTCTTAAATGACAAATGATGTTGAACTTTTTTCATATATTTATTTGCTGTTTGTACTTCTTCATCTGAAAAGTGTATATTCATTTCAAATACCCATTCTTGGATTAGGTCTTTAGATTTGGAGGGGGCTCTGATTTTTTTGTATGTGTTATATATTCTAGATATTAGTCCTTTGAGGAGTAGCTGGAAAAAAACTTTCCCGTTATGTGTATTGTCTCTCTACTCTATTGGTAATTCTTTTGTTGTACAAAAGCTTTTTAATTTAATGTGATTCCAGTTGTTGACTCTTTGTAATATTTCCTGTGTGACTGATGTTTCATTCATAAATTCTTTGCCTACACCAATGTCTTCAAGAGTTTTTCCTGTTTTATCTTCCAGAAAATTGTTTTGTTTTAGTATTTAGATATTTGACCCATTTCAATTTTAGTTTAATGCACAGTGAAAGATGATTCTAGGTTTAGTCTTAGGCATGTGGAAAACCAGTTTTCCAAACAACATTTATTAAGGAGCTATCTTTCGTCCAATGAAGGTGATTGGCACCTTTGTCAAAGATAAGGTAGATGAATGTGCTTAGAGTTGTTTTTATATCTTCTCCTCCATTCCATTTATGCTTCAGTATGTATTTTTGTTAGTATATGCTGTTGTTAACACTGTAGCTTTTTAATATAATTTCAAATCAGGAATTGTGATGTTCCCTGCCTTTCCCTTTTTTGGCCACAATTGCTTTTGCTATTCTAGGGCACTTCTGGTTCTATATGGATTTTAGAATTGTTTTCTCTAGTTCTATGAAGCATGCTATTGGTATTTTGGTTGGGATTGCGTTAAACCTTTTTCCCACATTGTGGGTTGTCTCTTCACTCTGTTGGTGGTTTCTCTTGCTGTGCAGAAGCTTTTTAATGAGAAGAGATCCCACTTGTTGACTGTTTGAGCTAGTTCACAAGCAACTGAGGTTTTGTTCATAAAATCTTTTGCTACACCAATGTCTTCAAGAGTTCTACCTAACCTCTATTCCAACCAATTCAGCTTTTCTGTTTTAATATTTAGATCTTTAATCCATTTTGATTTTAGTTTAATGCATGGTGAGAGATATAGGTCTAGTTTTAATCTTTGGCAAGTTGA